CCCCGTATGGCCCTGCACCGTCATGTCACCGTGCAGGGTGAGTCAGCATAGTGGGCAGCCAGAGTATTCCTGGAAGCCATTCCCACACTGAGATGGACAGCAATGACATTGCTATAGATGAGAGTGACTGTGAACCATATAAATGGATCCCTCTGTCTCAGTTTTTTGAGGGCTGCAATAACAAACTACAATAGACTGGGTGCTTAAACAACAAATGTTTGTTCCTCATAGTTCTGGAGGCTGGAAGTCCAAGATCAACATGCTGGCACATTCGGTGTCTGCTGAGAATCTGCTTCCTGGTCCATAGACAGCTGTCTTCTCGCTGTGTCCTCACTTGGCAGAAGGGGCAAGAGAGCTCTCTGGGGTCTCTTTTATAAGGGCACTAATTCCATTAATGAGACCTCGACCCTCATAACCTAATCACCTCTCCAAAGCCCACCTCCTAATACCATCACACTGGAGGTTAGGATTTCAACATACAAATTTTGGGGGGACATAAACATTCAGTCCAAAACATCTCTGAACCTAGATTAAACATACACCTAACTCAACCCTGCCTTAGCTGAACCCTTTAGGTACTCCATTGCCACCAACCTCGTGTGATAGAGGGAGAGTTGGAGTGGAAAGAGGTATCGATCTTAAAGGATTACAGTTAAATATCTTACTTCTGCAACATTTACAAAAACATATGCCCTGGTGAACACATTGCTGTTTCTCCCTGGGCCTTGGAGGGGCCCTTGCTTGCATAGGCCCTGACACTGAAGATTCATTATTGTCCAGGTAAATCCACCTATGTGAAATGAAGCTGGAGTATAAGGGGGAGACCATGTAGAGCCCTGTAGTTGTTAGTAGGAAGTTTGGGTTTTATTCTAAGAACAACAGGAAGACTTAAAGGACTTTAAAGGGAGCAGGTCAGGGGGTAACATGATTTGATTTATATTTTTCAAAGACCCCCTCTTGGCTTCAGTGTGGACAATGGGCTTAAGGAAGGCAAGTGACATGAGGGAGACTGCTGAGGAGGCTCTTGGATCTTTTCCAGGAGAAAGGTCTAGTGGGTAGAGATAGTGAGCAGTGCGTAGATTAAAGTCATATTTGAAGGTGGAGTGATGGGCTTGCTGATGGATTGACATTAAGGTAGAGGTGAGGTTGACATCAAGGATGTCTCCCAGATATCTGCTTGAGTGGTTGCTGTGACACCATTCCCTGAGGTGGGAAAATGGGAGCTAAGCCTGAGTTTAAATCCTGTCTCTACCATTCCCAACTACGTGATCCTGGACAGGTTGCTTCTCCTTTCCCTGCCATTTTCTCATTGCAAAAGGGGGAAAACTAATAACTTGTGAGGTTGAAGCGTAAATGAGATAACCTATTAACAAGAAGCCTGGGATGTTATCAATAACCTACATATTGGATACCATTCTTGTTCCAAGACTTATTAGTATTTACTATGAATCTCAAGGGAGGAAACCAGTCCTGGATCCTTATGCCATAGTGTGATTTTTCTTAGGTTCTAGCAGTTGGCTTTGGCTATTGAAAGCTGTGATATTCCACAGCAGGAAAATATTTGCTGTCCCTAAACGGCAGGTCAATGTGAATGATCTTTTTTTTTTTCCTGAGGAAGATCAGCCCTGAGCTAACATCTGATGCCAATCCTCCTTTTTTTTTTTTCCTGAGGAAGATTGGCCCTGAGCTAACATCCGTGCACATCTTCCTCTACTTTGTATGGGACACCACCCCAGCATGGCTCCACAAGTAGCGCATCAGTGGGCGCCCAGGATCCGAACCAGTGAACCCTGGGCTGCTGCAGTGGAGTGCTTGCACTTAACTGCTTGCGCCACTGGGACAGCCCCCTGAATGATCTTTTTAATAACAACAGTAATAATAATATTTATTGAGCATTTATTATCGCTAGGCTCTTTACATGCTTCATCTCATTTATCTTACAATACCTTTGGCACAGGTACTTTTTATTATTATTTTGTGGAAATTAATAAAAGAAACCTTAACTAAAATGGAGACAGGAAGACCTGTAGGGGGAGCGCTCATGCCTTATCATCATCATCAATTACTCCAAACAGAAAGAGAGGTACCTTTACTACTGAAGGAAGATTTCTCTCTCCACGCAGCAACAGCCCAGCGAATGAGAAATGCCTCAGCTCAGCCAATGAGAAGCCGGTTGCCACCCTGAACTGTTACGTTCCCCCAGTGAACTTTCTTTTAGAACAGCCCTCCCCTACTCCCCCTTTTCTCTATAAAAGCACGTTCCCCTCTGTTTTCCGCCATAGCATGCACATTCTGAATTGCAATTCTTTTGGCTATTCCTGAATAAACTCATATTGAGTGTTCAATAGGCGAATTTGCTTTTAAGTTGACAATTTCCATTTTAGAGATGAGAAAAACTGAAGTTTAAAGGATTAAATAACTTCTCCAGGGACCACAGGCTAGTAAGTGGAAGAGGCAGGACTCCATCCTAGGGATATTCAGAGATCAGGCAGAAGCATCAGACATTACACCTTTCACAATTGTTCTGTACGGCCGGGCCCGCCCCTGTCACCTCCTGGACAGGTGAGGTCCAAGGTTGGAGCTCCCAGAGCGCAAGCACCACGCCTGGAGACGGTGCACCACGCCTGGAGACGGTGCACCACGTCCGGAGCGCCCCGCCCCTGACCCATTGCCACGCCCCTCTTCCCGCCCCATCCCCCTGCTTGCCCCGCCCAGTCCCCCGCCGCTCCGCCCCTCACCCCGCCCCATCGCCGGTTCAGGCCCCGCCCCATCCCCTGCTTGCCCCGCCCCATCGCCGGCTCACGGCCCCGCCCCGCCCATCGCCCGGCCGTGCTCACCCAGACGCCTAGCGGCGCAAGGAGGGCAGCGCCTCCGACCTGACGCGCGGACGGGCGGCTCCTCCTCCAGCCCCTGCTCAGCGCGCCTCTCCTCAGACCCGACGCTGAAAGTAGGGCGCTGCCTGAGGGGCCGGGCAGGACCCGGGGGCTGAAGGCGGGCCGAGTGAAGGGGGCCGCGGCCGCGCGCATCCCCACACGCCTGAGGGAGACACGCCGCCGCCCGCAGCCTGGGCTGGAGCCGCGAGCCGGGCGCTCCTCCCTCACGAAGGGGAAACCCTCTGGCCTCAGTTTCCTCTCTGAGCGCCCGGCCTTGAACTCTGAGTAGTGGTCTGTGGAGGGAGCCCTCGGCGTCCCTGCCCTGGACGCCCGCCCCGCTCCCTCCTTTCGTCGCCCTCGCGCCTCCTTGCTCCCCAGCAGGAGCGCGCCCTCTCCGCGCCCCCGCCCCTCCCCCGGTCCCGGCCCCCGCCCCCGGCGCATCCCCGCGGGGCCCGCCCTCCGCCCGCCCTCGCCGCCTCCCCTGGGCCCCCTCCCACGAGCTGGCCGGTTCCCGGGCCCCGGGTGCCGCGCGCGCACTCTGGGACTTCGGGGGGTTGCGTGGGTTTGTGTTTTTTGTGTGTGTGTGGGGAGGGAGATACGCGCTGAGGAAAATCAGTGTCTCAGGAGTGTTAAATTCACAGGGATATTTTTTTCTTAAAGTACATGAATAATCATACACCTGGGAGCCGTTTGTAAAGATACATTGAAATTCCTTCTACGATAACACGCACGCAGACTAGAAAGGAAGTGAGTGGAACCACGGCAAGGCGCAGGCCGCAGGGTTAAAGCCTCACGCTGTCCCGCTGGGGAGTGTGGTTTGGTAGGTGGCGTAGCCTTTAGTCTGGGCCCAATGATGAGATTCCTGGGGTGGAAATGGGCATTGATCAAAGTTCACCTAAATTTTTAATTCTGTGGGTGGTTTTGTTTTTGTATCCATTTGGGCTCAATTTGCTCTTTCATCAGAACTTTAAGTAGAAAAGAAGCAAAAGGAAGCTTCCATAGTGGCCGCTTAAGGGTTCTTAAGTGTAAGCGATAATTTGATTCTTCTCTAGAAGTCAGCCGAAATGTTATAACATCTCTTCGCCTAATAGTGGAGCCTTTTGGCCTTATTGAGAATAGTACAATTGGTAGGAATGTGCATAAATTCTTTATTTTTAAGTGAAGGTTTTCTTTTACCATACTTAATTCAAATATATTTGAATATATCAAATACCATATTTAATTCAAAATATTTTAATTTGATTCTTGTTTCCTTTCTTCCCTACTTCTGATTCTTTGCCCATAGTTTTTTATAGTTTCTTATTTTCTTAATTTTTCCACTTTACGGTACTTTGGAGTTCCATTATTTTAACTTCCATATATTTAATATACTGTTGAATAAACCATAGCATCTTAAAGAGAACAAAGATATTCAACATCTGGATATAAATCAATGATCCAACACCTCTCAAATCCTTAAATTTTAGAAGAGTGGTGATCTGTGTTCACTTTTCTTAGTTTTGCCCACCTTTTCCTAGTCTGTTGTTTTTTCCCTATTTCCACCTCCTGTTTTTTCCAGCCTCCCTCCCTATTTATTTGACCGTATTAATACGAGAACTCAAATCCTTTGTAGAATAAGAGTAAGTAAAATGTAAGAAGAGATGGGTTATCAGAATACATTTAAACCAGGTGTGATTCACAATCTAATAGAGCTCTGTCATTAGTTTATAATTTTGTTTTTGGGGAGTTTTATTTTTATTTTTGTTTTTGCTGAGGAAGATTCACCCTGAGCTAACACCTGTGCCAGTCTTCCTCTATTTTGTATGTGGGTCACCGCCACAGCACGGCTAATGAGTGGAGTAGGTACACTCCCAGGATCCAAACCCATGAACCCACGCTGTCCAAGTGGAGCGTGCAGAACTTTAACCACTCAGCCTTGGGGTCGGCCCCTATTATTTTGTATTTTAAATAAAGGTTTCTTCTTTACAAGAAAATAATTTGACTTAAATAATACATTGAATTAGAAGATAATGTGAGTGTTATTTTATGGAATTAATGAAAAGTGTTTTTGCTTGCTGTAAAATAGCACAGAAAGGTTTTTGTAATCCAATTTTAAATATCTTTTAATGTTCCCTTTAGTTCGTTAAATACAACTAAGGAACACTGGCAACATGTTCTACACGCATGTGCTTATGAGTAAGCGAGGGCCATTGGCCAAAATATGGCTTGCAGCTCACTGGGAGAAGAAACTCACAAAGGCCCATGTGTTTGAATGTAATCTAGAGATAACCATTGAAAAAATTCTTTCACCTAAGGTATGTTATTGATTAAAATTATGGTATGTATTTGCCCTGACTTGTAGAGAGGAAAGGAATTAAAATACATTTATATCATGAAATATATTTCCAAGGAAGTTTTACTTCTCAAATGGTCTTCTCTCTTTTAATTCCTATTGTATTTATTGTCTGAATATAAACATATATGTTTGTAATTAACTGTTTCATATGTTTATCATAAATAGATTGGACCCTGAAGGATAGAGGCCATGACTTATACATACTTTGTAATTCTACCTTATTCTCTAATAAAATACTGTATACACAGTAGGTACCAAATAAGTATTTCTTAGAAAAATAGTGAGTGAATGAATGGAGAGAGTAGAAAGAAAGAAGGAGGATTGAGTATAAATCAAAATATATATGAAAACACTTCATAAGCAATAAAATGCTATGTTCATTATAAAACACTATAACAAGCTGTTAGAATTTGCATTAAAATATTATTTTACTATTTTTATAGGTTAAGTATTTTTCTGCTTGGGAGAAGGATGACTTATAACTGAAAACCTACCGTATGTCAAGCGCTGGGCTAGGCTTGATGTTCATCAGTTTACTTAATCTTAACAACTCCATGAGATGTGCTTCTTTTAGCTTCAGTGAGGTGTGGTAGTTAACAGCATGCACCTTTGAGTTGGTCAAATTAAATTTACTTTCTGCTCCTTCACTTAATAGTTGTGTTACGTTGGGCGTACTACTTAACACATCTGAGTCTCAGTTTTTTCTTCTGAAAATAGAGGTTGTCAAAATTAAATAAATTAATGTATGAAAAGCTCTTAGGACAATTCCTGGCACAAAATAAGTATATAATAAATTGTAGCCATTATTAATAAATTGAAATTCAGGAAGGTTAAGTGACTCAGCCTCAGCAACTGAGCCAAGGCTTGAACTCAAGGCTGCCTGACTGCAGAGTTTACATTCTTCCCATAAAACCAGTAATATCGTTCTTCACTTAGATGCCACATTAGGTTATCTTTATTGAATAAGAAAAAAAGTTAATCGTTTTACAAGGTGGGGTAAAAGTTAAGTGATTCACTTTAAATAAGAATACAAAATGTCTGCTTTTTAAAGAAAAGAAACTCTTATGATTTTGTAATTTTCAAAGAGCAGGGTTTATGAATCTAATTTTTAATATTCTAATACTTTAAAAATTATTGAAAGGTGAAAATTGCACTTCGAACTTCAGGACACCTTCTTTTGGGAGTTGTTCGAATCTATAATAGGAAGGCAAAATATCTTTTGGCAGATTGCAGTGAAGCATTGCTTAAAATGAAGATGACATTTCGCCCAGGTATATGTGCAATATTGATTTGTCTCACTCATCTTGCTTCCCTTTTGCATTTTTATTTTGGGTGGGCTCCTTTAATTGGTGGCACTTTACAATTCCAGGGTGAGTATAGTGAATGTAATCTTCCTTTTGACTGAATCTCAGTTTCCATGGTTAAGGAGAAATTACATTCTTTCCCTTGTTTTTTTCTTGAATTTGCAGGAAAAGGTTATGCTTTCAAAAACTTGTAATGTTCCTGCATATTTACATAGGAAATATATTTAAAGCTACCACCCTTGTGTAAGAAACTCTGATATTCAGTTTTAACGGGTCACTTAGTTTGCCATGTCTGTTTTTGCCTTTATGAGATAAATTAGAAATAGTATGATTGACAAAATCTAAATATCAATAATTGTCATTGTTTTCAGAATTCTCGAGATTCTGAGTAGCATGCTATTTATGAAATATTATAAAAAATATGTAGGCATTCCAAAGCACTAGAGATTTACATGTGTCATGTAAAAGCTTCAAAATTTAATTTAATTTTAAGTTTAAGACATTCATCACTTTCCACCTCATTTTATGGTTACTCAGGTACAGGCCTTGCCTCTCACACTAGTCTGGAAGCATCTTGAAGGCAACATCTTTGTCATATTTGTTTTCTGAATCTCTTATAGTTCTTGTCTCAGTGCCCTGCACATGCTAGTCCCTCAATTAATATTTGTTGAATTGGGATTGACAAGGTTTTTTTTCTTTATTTAAAATATTTGTAGACTCTCTAGGTAGATTTATAATCATATCAAATATGGTTCATTTGTTCATTATTTCATTTATATATTCCACAAATATTTATTGATCCCATACTTTGTGTGAAATACTATGTTAGGTTCTGGGATACAAGGACAAACAGGACCAATAAGGTCCTTTTCAGTTTGATGAGGAAATCAAGACAAAGTCCCTTTTGGTTTGGTGGGAAATCAGATAATGAAAAAGGTTTTTTAAATTATTACAATAATTATAGATTGTGATTGTGCTAAGAAGGAATATAAAAAGAGTACTCCAACAGAAAAACAACAGCCAAATCCATTTTAGTTAGGCTAGTCGGGAAAAAGCTTTCTGAGAGGATAGAATTTAAGCTCAAACTTGAAGAATGAGAGGTACCCAGCCATGTAAAAAGTCCCAGAGGGAATAGCATTCTGGGCAGAGGGAACTGCATGAGCAAAGGTCTTCAGGCAGAAAAGTGCTTGACTTGTTCGGGGAACAAAACGGCCAGTATGGTTGGAGTATAGTGAGTGAGGCAGACAGGGCCGTGAGATGATGCCGATAGGTTTTGTAGGGCTGCAGAGGCCCTGATTAGAAATTTGGAGTTTATTTAAATGCACTGGGGAAGTCACTGAATCAGTTTAAGCAGGGGAGTGATCTGATCTGATTGCGTATTTAAAATATCACTCTGGCTGCTTTGTAGAGAATAGACTGAAGAGGGGCAGGAGTGGATCCAGGGAAGCTAGTTAGGAGACTAAGCAGAGGAGTCCAGTGAGAAAAAGTAGAGATTTCGTTGTGACTTTCTTATTTTATATAGCATCATTGCTTATTGAATGTGGTTTTTGATTCTTTTCAGGACTAGTTGACCTTCCAAAAGAGAATTTTGAAGCAGCTTACAGTGCTATCACATTACCAGAAGAATTTCATGATTTTGACACCCAGAATGTGAAGTAAATTATTGTATTTATTTTCCTTCAGTTTAATTTTCTTGATATCTTATTGTTTTCATCTTAACATTTCATGAACACAAATGAAATGTAGTTAACAATTGAAGTACACATGCAGTTGACAAAGACTTAAATTTAGTGTGAAATTTTGAAGTACAACACCAAAAATGTATCATTGTATTTGCTGAGTGTAGTTTGCAGTATTGGTGGTATATCCATCCATTCATTCAGTAAATATTTATTGGGTGCCTTCCAGATGCCAGGCACTGAGGAGATAGCAGTGAATAAAACACAGCTCCTGGCTGCATGAATCTTACATTTTAGTTGGGGTAGACAGACAATAAACAAATAAATCAGTAAACATACAATATGCCAGGAAATGATCAGCATTAGGAAGAGAAATAGAAAATAAAATAAAATGAGAATAGAATGGTCAGGAAAGGCGTTTCTAATAAGGTCAGAACGGAAACCTGAAAGAGGTGAAGGAACAAAGTCATTCAGTAACGTGAGGAAGAATGTTCCAAGTAGATCAGGTGGAAAGGCCCTAAGGCAGAGCACTTGGGACATTTTCAAGGAACAGCAAGGAGACAAGTGAGACTGGGGAGTGGAGTAAATGAGGGCCCAAGTGGTAGGAAATGAGGGCAGAGAGGTAGCTGGGGATGCAGGTGAGGTAGGGTGTTGTAGGCTACAATAGGTACTTCCGTTTCACTCAGATAGGGAGGACAGGAGGGTTTTGAATACGAGAGTGACTGGATCTGACTTGATTTCAACATGCTGCCTCTGACTACTTACCGTAAGGGGAAAAGGGAGGAAGCAGAGAGCCTCTGAGAAGACTATTATGGTAGGAAGTCCAGATGAGAAGTGACAGGGTCCATGGTGAGTTCTCCGTCTTCATGTTATCAAGATGGTAGCAGTCCAATTATGGATATATTTTGAGGGCAGACCCATAGGATTTGCTGGTTGGACATGGCTTTAAGAGAAAGAGAAAACTGAAGGATGGCTATGTGATTTTTGGCATGAAAATGGAGTTACCACTTAATGAGATTAGGATAACTAGGGAATGGCAAGTTTAAGGAGGGCCGGGCGAAGGAAGTAAATTAGGTTTTTGACATAGGTTTTGAGATGACTGTTACACATCCAAGGGGAGTAGGTAGGTAGTTGAATATCTGGGTCTGAAATTCAGGAAAGAGGTCTGGATGGGCTATATAAATTTGGGAGTTGTGAGTATATAGATGGAACTTCAACCGTGAGACATAAGAGATCCCCGAGGGACTGACTGTAGGTTTTAAAAAAGAGGGAGAAAGATCTGAGGACTGAGTGTTGGGTCATTCTTAATAGCTAATAGTCTAGGAGATGAGGAAGAACTAATAAAGGAGATAGAAAAGGAGCAGCCAATGTGGTAGGAAGAAAGTCAAGAGAGGGAAGTATCGGGCCGGCCCCGTGGCTTAGCGGTTAAGTGCGTGCACTCCGCTACTGGTGGCTCGGGTTCAGATCCCAGGCGCGCACCGACACACCACTTCTCTGGCCATGCTGAGGCTGCGTCCCACATACAGCAACTAGAAGGATGTGCAACTATGACATACAACTATCTACTGGGGCTTTGGGGAAAAGAAGGAGGAGGATTGGCAATAGATGTTAGCTCAGAGCCGGTCTTCCTCAGCACAAAGAGGAGGATTAGCACGGATGTTAGCTCAGGGCTGATCTTCCTCACAAAAAAAAAAGAAAGAGAGAGGGAAGTATCCCAGAGGCCAAGAGGAGAATGTATTCCATGAGGAAGAGAGTGAACATCTATTTCAAATACTGTTGGTTAAGGTAAGTAAGATAAGGACTGAGAATTGACCGCTGGGTTTGGCAACCTGGAGATCATTTGTATATATGCATATATAATAAACTAGTGTTTATAAATAACACTATTGAGAAAAATTAAAATCTCCTTTATTTTTATAATAAAACCTGTTTTTTTGTTTTAGGTTTTTTTGTGGGGTTTTTTGCAGTCTACTACAAAATCATTGTGTTCTGTTCACATGTTTTCCTCAATCTTATATTTCTCCACAGTGCTATTGATGTTTCAAAACACTTTACTCAGAACCAAAGCAAACCAGAAGAAATCACACTTAGAGAAGATTATAGCAACGATCTACTTTTCCAAGCTGGGACCTTTGGTGAGAATATTTGAGAAATTAAAATTATAAGTCATAATAATTAAATTTGCATTTTTGTATTAAAACAATGCCAATAGAAATAGCTATTTCTATGCCAGTAGAAATATCTTTAGAATGAATCTTTTGATATGTAAACGTAACCCCCAGTAAGTTTGTTCTTGCCTTTTTCTAGTATAGGTGGGAAGAACATGTTCTTAGTAGACCTACAGACCTGGGTTTGAATCTGGCCTTTCTCTATTGACTTGATGTGTGTATTGGGCAAATTACCTAACTTCTCTGAGCCTTACTGCCCTATATGTAAAATTGAGATACTACTAGCAACATCACAGAGTTATTTCCCTTATTCCCTCCTTCAGTCCTATCCACCAATAAGTGACTTTTCTCTCCTTCAAAAACTAGCTTAAACCTAATGTCCTCTAAGAAACGTTTAATGTTAATCTATCTTTTCTGGATTACAATGTAATATTGAAGGCAATGATTATTTCTTTAATTTTTTTGAGTAGTCTCAGGTTCTCCTGATGCTCATTGCTCAGAATATAGTGTCTGTTCCTAAATGTTATTATCTTGTTAACCAAGGCTGATTTTTCTTTTGGGAGCTATCAGGCTGTAACTGGAAGATGTGAACATGTTTTTGGTTCCTTTTGGAAAAGTCAGTCTTTTCTGTTGATCAAATCTTTAGTCCAACAAAATGAAGCTTGCCTTTTTCAACTCTTCCTTTCTAGAAGGTGTAGGCCTATAGAAGAATTTTCAATATGAGTGATACTTCATGATTTTCTTTACTGACTAGCACTAACATGGGTTGTTAGAGGGAGGGAAGAGAAGACCAGCTTTCACCTCTGGAATTTCAGACTCCTGGACCTATGGATTCAAACCCAAAGGAGAGAAAGAATAAGCGCGCTCTGACAGCCAAGCTGGAAGCAGGGCAGTTTGAAGCAGAGTTTGTGTTACCTGCTGCTGTCAGTGTCTTAGGAGTTTTCTCTCAAAAGTCTCCATTTTGAAATTATTTACCAGTCAGAATTCTAACACTGATACTATCACTGTCTCTGCTGGGTTCAAATCCTGGTTCTGTCATGTATTAGGGTGTGACTGTGTGCAAGTTACAAAACCTTTCTGTGGATGTGTTTCTTTGTCTGTACAATGAGGATTATAGTAGTATCTTCTATTATATAATATAATGCACATAATAAGCACTCAGTTAATGTTAGCTGACTGGTTTTCGTCTTTTTTACTGCTGTATCTCCAACCCCTAGCATCTTGCGTAATACCCAGTCATTCAATAAGTATTTATTGAATGAATGTTGTAAGCCTATTCTTTAATATTTTACCCACCTTTCTTTTCCTCAGAAGGCATATATGCCCCTTATTTTCCAAACCCGCATTATGGATAAACAACACAAGCAATTGTCCTCGAAATAATATGAAATAATACTTGATCAAGCAGAACATGACCTATCTAAAGTAGAAGAAATCATTCCACTGCCAATAATAACCTGGGAAATTATTAAACTGTATCATAACTAAAAACTCTGTCCTGATGTTTTGGCTTTTTTTCCTATTGTATTGGAAAAAGTATTAGGCTAGAAATCCAGGCTCCACTGATTAACTGAGTGACTTTAGTTGAATAATTCAAATAAGTTTTTGAGCTCTCATTTTCCTTATCTGTAAAGAGAGGAGTGTCTATACAAGATGACATCTGAATTTCCTTCTAACCCTAAAATTCTGTGTTTCTGTGACTAACTCAGTACTGATGATATATATTTATTTAGGAGAGGAGCCTGAAGTTCTCAGAAGACATAGCTTCTTTGATGACAACATATTGCTGAGTTCCAGTGGTCCTTTAGTTGAACATAGTTCCGGAAGCCTCATTGGAGAAAAATCACTGTTCTATGACAGTGGAGATGGATTTGGAGATGAAGGGGCTGCAGGAGAAATGATTGGTATGCTGTCTGGTTCTATAGAAATTGGATAGTTATTTCGATCAAATTACTGTAATATGTTAGTAGATTTATTAGACCAAACTAAAATTTCAGAAATGCTTTTGTGTCATATAAATCAACACATTTTTTACACTAATTTTCAAAACTTATGGTATCTTTAAACATTTAGGCTAGGTCTAAGTAAATAGACATCTGTTTAAACACATTTTCCATATAGGTTGTGAAGTGCTGCTTGTTTTTATTTTTACAAATTTTTAATTTTTAGAGAGGAAAGAGTGAGGTTAATGTATTCTTCACAAAATATACTAGATCATCTACTAAAAAAATATTGTTTTCTTTAACAGAAATTGTGGGACAGCTATTCTAAATGATCTGTTAAGCACTTTATGTTATTTTATTTTTATATTATGCTATTATTTTAAGGTAATTGTAGAAATAGTGTAGACAAAAACTGGGAAATCCAAATGCACATTTTTTTGTGTGTGTGAGGAAGATCAGCTTGAGCTAACATCCATGCTAATCCTCCTCTTTTTGCTGAGGAAGACGGGCTCTGAGCTAACATCTATTGCCAATCCTCCTCCTTTTTCTCCCCAAAACCCTAGTAGATAGTTGTATGTCATAGTTGCACATCCTTCTAGTTGCTGTATGTGGGACGCGGCCTCAGCATGGCCAGAGAAGCGGTGTGTCGGTATGCGCCTGGGATCCAAACCCGGGCCGCCAGTAGCGGAGCACATGCACTTAACCGCTAAGCCACGGGGCCAGCTTCAAATGCACATATTTTAAAGATATTGACTGTTATAAATCAAATCTTTTAAATTCTCTAGTTTACATTAAAAGCCTGGTTATGATAAACTTTTGGAAATTTTGGAAAAACAGTGGCTCTACCTTAGATCTCTATCAAAGGAGTTTGAACACTTTTACTTTTTTTTTTTTTTTGCTGAGGAAGATTAGCCCTGAACTAACATCTGTGCCAGTCTTCCTCTATTTTATATGTAGGTTGCCACCACAGCATGGCTGATGAGTGGTGTAGATCCGCATCCAGATCTGAACCCACAAACCTGGGCCACCAAAGCGAGCACACCGAACTTAACTGCTGGACCACGGGACTGGCCCCAAAACCCTTTTACTTCTTGATTTGAAATCTAAACATGGCTTTGTAACACGGCTACTATCTTGGTAATAGTTTAGTAAACATTTCCTGAAATTAAACATCTAAAAACAGATTTTTACTAAAAGAAAGGAAATTATATACAAAATCCTGTGTTATCCTGCATGAAATGTGATAGTCTATGTAACCAATCAAATCTAATTAGGTAGAGTTCATTGATTTTTGTAGCCCTTCACTATTCCTTGCGTATAATAATGCCAATAAATATTTAGTGAAGAAACGACAGATTCAACTCTGTATGACCAAAGTATTTATTGTGTTTTTTAAGACAATCTGTTACAAGATGATCAGAATATCCTGTTAGAAGACATGCATTTGAACGGAGAAATTTCCCTGCCTTCTGAGCCTCCCACTACTATAGTGGGTATGTTGAAATTTTCCTTTGTTTAGAAAGTGAACAGGTGCTAATATTCAAATTAAGCCTCAGAGCTTCTGAGTTTAAGTAGCAGTATAGTACAGTGAAAGATAATAAATAACATCGTCCCTCAAACTCTCTTAGTCTGACTCTAGACAATATAGGATAGGAAAATTAGTTCTGAGACGGGTACAATGATGGTTATTTAACCAGGATTGTGTTTATTTGGTATGAGAGCACTTTAAATACTCTGCCAAAATACTATGCTTTTTCACATGTGTGTGGTGATGGGTTGTAATTAGTATTTGGGTGGTGAACATGATGTAATCTATGCAGAAATAGAAGTATAATGATGTACACCTGAAATTTATACAATGTTATAAACCAATGTTACTGCAATAAACAAAAAAAAATACTATGCTTTTGAATCATTAGAATACTATATGTTACATGGTAAAACATCATTAATGTTTGATGTTAATATGCTTATTGATTATTAATATTAACACTGTATTAATGTGGTTTGACAAACTATATACAATTTGAGAGAAATTACAAATATGGGGATATTTTCTACTTGAAATCCATATGATGGTACCTCAAATGATTTGAGGTTTTTTAGTCTGATTTTTCTTAAGAATTAAAAGTATGATTAGCCCATTTGGATTCTTCACTCTTTTTGATGTTACATTTGCTTTCTAATGCAATAGTAGAAATTTAAAATGTAAAAAAGAGATAGGCAATAAAAATTTAGTTGTGGTTCTTTATGGGTCAACTAATAATTAAATGATTTAACAGAATACAAATTTTGTAGCAGACATATAATCAAATTTGTCTCAGTCATTTATTATGGCTGGTACCACTGTTTTTACTTCCACTGTGACCATAGTCACAGTCACATCTAAGTCCAGCCTTAGATGTCACATGTGCAAAAGAGGGTGATGATACTTGATTCACATAGACACTGTGGGTCCCAGACTATAGAATCTCTGAACCTCTTCAACTCTATTAAATACAGGATTCTAAGAATTCAGATGTGGTTCCAGTTAGCAATATAAATCTTCAATTAGTTTATCTTTCACTTTAATTCTCATATAGTCCTCTAGCTTGTAACATAACCATTATTTTTTTTGTAATTCCTTTTATGGTGATGTTGATTAGTAGAACCAGATAATCCAGAGTGTATATGTCTATCTAAAAGTGAAAAAATGGATGAAACCACATTATCAAATGAAGAGGAAGGATTTACCCTTGAGCCAATTGATGCTTCAGGTCAGAGTCGCTTATGTTTTTATTTTTCTTTTTGATACACTATATCTTATTTACTGTGAGATATTTGAATAATCAATGAAATATTATAGGAGGTAGTCAATCTAGTAATGACATTTGTAATACAATAGGGGAAGAGTGTGAAGGAAACTTGAGATGATCCTTTCATTATATTCAGTCCTGGTCAAATCTTATTTCCAGTTTGGGAAACTGGAAAATTTAAAACTGAGTTCAGTTGCAGTAGTTATTGAAGCCATTACTCTGTGTTGGGTACAGAAATGAAGAAGGCATAGTGCCTGCCTTTAAGAAGCTTACAATCTGATCAGAAAGATAAATAAACTTGCAAATGAATATAAAATATGGCAAACTAAAAGGATTGAAAGAGAAGAGGCAATATCCCCTCTAATGTTTAACCTCACACATGTTTTGAGGAATAAATAATAAATATGAATCTAATATATAACTGGACCTGTTAAGAAGATCCTAGTTTTAAGTAGTATAATTGATATGAATTTCAGTTTATAAACTCAGGCATGTAAAGAATAAAGCATTCAAATTTTTTTCTTTACTAAATTCAACTCTGAGCCTCTATCTTACTGGACTTGCAAGAATTTCAATCTGCATGGCTCCCCCATCTGCCCTAAGCCATATAGTATAAAAATTGGGGGCAGGGGTGTAGCAGGTGGAAGGGAACCTCTGGTTGTCAGCCATACCAGTTTGTGGTGCCCACTGACCTGGCCTACATAGCCTCTGGGGTCATCACACAGCCAGCCCCTCTGGGATCTTGTTATGTTCCTAGGATTTTACTGAGGCACGTTAGCAAGCAGGTTCCTGTTCCTTCTGGCTCCATCTGATCTCAGATCTTTGTCCATTCTGGGAAATCTAACCCTCCCTCCCCTTTTGCATCTTTACTAAGGAAAAGTTTGACTTCTGCTTTCTATCTGGTAAAATTAACTATAGGAGCAAAATCCCATGGGCCTAGCTACCTACTTGGAATTTATGTGTGAATTTCAGTGGGGGAGGGAAAAATATATTGGACAAATACAAATTAATGTTTCAAAAAGTTATCCTGTTATGTAGATATTTTAAGGAACCTCAAAATTGAGTGACTTCCCTCTCAGTATACCCTCTGCTCCATATTTCCTCAGTTGTCCGCTTGGTAGGTCAACATAGTCCCTCCCAAGCACCTTCAAGCAACACCTTATAAAATGCATAAACTCATAAACTCTTGGCTGCTCAGACACTCTAGCTGTGCAAAAACTTGTAAAACATAATTTTCAGTAGAGAGAAGGGGATTTTCTTCCCAATGCAACTCTGTATGTTGTAAGGTGGTAGACATTTCTTAGCTATGTAGTGCGTACAATATCATTTTACAAAGATGTACAACCAACCACATTTGTGCCTATTTCTTATATTTAGACATTGCTGAGAAAAGGAAAGGCAAAAAGAGGAAATTGCTCATAGATCCAGTCAAGGAGATCAGTAGCAAAATTATGCATAAACAGCTTTCTTCCTTTTCTGACACACTCATGGTTTTGGAACTTGCACCTCCTACCCAAAGATTGATGATGTGGAAGAAGAGGGGAGGAGTGGATACACTTCTGTCAACGGCTGCCCAGGATTTGACTCACGCGGAACTGAAAATGGTAATAGTTTCCATCCTTTTACATGGGTGTGATGTTTGGTTATAAATAAGTAAATGCATATTTACATTCATATATACAACAAAATTTAAACTTGTGAAAAAATACCCGCTTACTTTTGAATTAATTTGCTGGATGTGTGTGCATGAATTATAGTTTTTACTTTTTAGCATATGTGCTTGTATTTTATTGAATTGCTTTACTTGTACAAAAATGAGAAACAAAAATTTGTATTTTTACAGTTGTTTACAAAATGCCTTGTGTCCTCTGGCTTTAAACTCGGAAGAAAATTGATAGAGAAGGAGTCAGTAAAGGAAACAATGGGAAATGAAAACATAGTAGGTGAGACATCTTAATTCTGTTGGTGTTGAGGGGAATGTTGTAGAAACAACAATTTCATTTTACATTTAAAAATGAAGATGGATCCAATCCCATATTCCTAAATATAAATGCTGTCTCTAGAAGAGTATTTGAACTTAGAAGAAATTCTTATATGAGCATTGTATTTTTCTGTTTTGCAGATTAATTTTTGTCTAAAAAGCTACATTAAAAAGATGAAGTATATCTACTACATGGACTATTCTTAATCTCACTCTTTCCCACCTCCTTCACTTCCAAAGGCAGTACTCACAAACCTTCAACAAAGAAAATTTTTATATCTAGTAGGATAATATTTCACTTTAAGACAACTAACGTGAAAAGTCACCTAGTGATAAGAATAGCATTTAAACAATAACAATTAACCTGAGACACGGATATTTCCATCCACCCACAGGATACATGGAGTATTAATAATTGCTGATTATTATTGTGATTATTATAAAGGAATAATAATACTAACTGATGTGGTGAGTGAACCTCTGCTTCCTGATCACCCTTTCTGAAGGCATTAAAATCTGCTGAACAATATACCAAGATGAGCTTGAACTATCCATGTTATCTTCTGAGTGAATATGTGGGAGTGAGAGCAGGGAGGAGAGCTGATGGAGGATAGGGAATGGAGGTGATAAAGAGGCAGATGAGGGGAAAAAGAAGATAAATATATGAGACTTGGGGAGCCATAAAAACTTTTGTGCACCCTTTGCTTAAATTCTGGGATTCTAATGTCAGAAGTTTTCTTTAGTAACAACCATATCCCAACTTAAGTTTGAAAGATATTTTGGTGAAATCTTCTTTACTTCCTTAATAATTCAGAGACCTCCATTATGGAAGAGCCAAATTCTCAGCAAGAGTTAAGTCAAACCAAAGCTCGGAAGGATGTGATTGATGGATCTAAGTGTAGCTCTCATGAGGATAGCAATAAAAATATTAACTCTGAGGTAAGTTAACCAAAGAGAATCATAAAAATATTACTATTTTTCTGACACAGATATAGTGAAGGAATGTTGAGACTCTGGCATATCTTCTTACATTAATAGTTTATATTTCGTCTTATATTATTCTGTAATTTCTTTAGTGAGTAGCAGTACTACAGGATAAAACATGATTTTCATCTGCAGAACAGTATTTTCTAGAAGTTTAGGATAATAAATCACAAGATAAGTAGTTTCATATTGAAGTAGTCTTTTGCATGGCACATTAAATAAATGATTGTACTCTGGTAATATGCTGAGAATCCTACTAGACGCCATATTCAATATGTCATGGAATCTTTTAGGACTCTAGACACTACACCTATATTTTGTTTCTGGTCATAAATTCACCCTTCCTACCTCTAAGAATAATATGTTTTAGAACTACCAGTTACCTTAGCCTTGAATATGAAAGACTATCTAAAGATCTATGACCAAAACAAAATTTTTAAAAATTTTTGTCTAAAGCCATAATTTTTATTTGAAAAACATAGTTATTTGAAAACATACTTGGAAACAGTGTGCTTTAAAATATTTTCCCACTTGTCATTTTATTGATTGTACAAATGTAAATATTATAGCCACACCAGATAAAAATAGACCAGTGCTTTTCTGGTCTGTTCCATCATCACTATATTTGATAATCACTCAGGGAATTCAGAGTCAATCCACATTGAAACTGAATGCCCTTGGAAGGAAAGACAATTTCATGATGCATTAAAAGAGAATGTGTTTGGGGCCGGCCTGGTAGTGTAGTGGTTAAGTTCACGCATTCCGCTTCGGCGGCCCGGGGTTCCCCAGTCAGGATCCTGGGTGAGGACTTACTCGCTGCTCATCAAGCCATGCTGAGGTGGCGTCCCACATAGAAGAGCTACAACTCTACAACTATGATATACAACTATGTACTGGGGCTTTGGAGAGAAAAAAAAAGAAAAAGAAGAAGATTGGCAACAGATGTTAGCGCAAGGCCAATCTTCCTCAAAAAAATAAAAATAAAAAAAAGAGAATGTATTTTACTAAATGTTTGATAAAAACTGGATATTGAGATACGGGGTTGCCAGTACTACTCTCTTCCTTATTTGGGCTCAGGCATTTCTTAGAGCACACCCACTGAAAATTAGTCAAGTTTGTTTAGTTTATGAGTCTTTAACATATTAATAAAATAGATTTTCTGAAATACTTGAAATGAGGGAAAGAGATTGATACACTAGTTCTTTTGAATCTTTTACTCCTTTACCCTACACTTATGCTTTAACCTTCAATTCCATTTTTATTCTACTTCCAAAAATGGTGAACAGATGTGAAATATAGTCAGGAATGGAAGCACAATTTGAAGGGACAGGAAAATATTGATTCTGATTAATCATTTTCAAATATTCATAAAACATAATTTTTATGTAAAGTAACTGCAAAATTGAGCGTATTTAAAATGTAGACTATTCATAGAAATTAAAAGAGAAAAAAACATAAGTATGTATATTAAAGAATAAAATGCAATTCCTTATATTCACTAAAATTTTAAAAAACTGAAGTGAAAAATCAAGTAAACTATGTTGTAGGAAGCTCCTAACTTAAGATCACAGATGGCAGCTGGGGAATGAAGCTTGGAGACAGGCTGAAGGTGAAAAAGGGGGCCAACAGCTTCTATAGCAATGAAAAAGGGAGATGGTGGGGAATGGAGAATTTCCGGCTCTTTTTCCTTTTTCTTTTATGTCTTCACTCCCCTTCCAAAGGATACAGTTTTTCTTCCCCTTTGCCAGTGACAGCTCCAGCAGTGGTGGCAAGAATCCTGTCATGGCCCTAGGTAGGGATATTAATATCCTTTCCCTCATTCTCACTCTCTCTGCTTGCAGATCTCCTTCCTCTGCCAACTGGTACTGGCATGATAATAGAGGTAGGGGACTGAGGCTAGATAAAATGCTTCAAAGGAAAGTGGTCTCAGCCACACGGCAGTAGAGATTTTTGATATGAGGTCTGCAGTATGGAGGGAAATAGGAAGGATAAAGATAGAAAGCAAGGAGGGAAGGGGCATGCGAGTTCTTCATTTGTAGGAGGCATATGAAGAACAGGAATATTTAAGTCAGGGGCTGCCTATCTGGGATATTTCAGAAATAATATTCTGAGAATTCAGGTAGTATTTTAAATTAGTTTTAGAAATGAGCATTCATGGGATTAAAGCATTTAACAAAATGAGATTGTTCCTGTGATGACTGCTACTACTGGGTGGCTTACCTATCTTTTCCTAATTTGCTTTAGCAGGATATTATTGAAATGATTTCTTCAGCTGCTGAGGAATCCTCTTTAATGAATGCCATCTTGGCACAAGAAATTGAAAATTGTCCAGCTGAATTGGTAAATATATGTATAGTTTTGGGAATGTTTTTAAAAACTTTGTCCCTAAATATTTAACACCTTATTTACCTAAAAATTGGTTTTACAGCTGTCATGTTACTTTCTAAAGTTATAATTTAAATTAGTGATCTCAAGAAAGATGCGTGTGTGGGCTGGCCGCATGGCGCAAGCAGTTAAGTGCACACGCTCCGCTGCGGCGGCCCGGGGTTCGCTGGTTCAGACTCTGGGCGCGCGCACTGACGCACCGCTTGGCAAGCCATGCTGTGGCAGCGTCCCATATAAAGTGGAGGAAGATGGGCATGGATGTTAGCCCAGGGCCAGTCTTCCTCAGCAAAAAGAGGAGGATTGGCAGATGTTAGCTCAGGACCAATCTTCTTCACAAAAAAAAAACAAACAAACATGCGTGTGAGTAGTTTGATAAAACATGTTTTTATGCTTTGACTTTTTTGTCTTTCTTTAATTTATTTTGAAACTTCAAATAATTTTAAAGGAAGGTGTGAGATTTTTGTGCTTATCAAAGATAGCCACAGGTGAAAAAATGTTGAGAATCACTGTTGTAAGTTACTTTCATAACGTCTTTAGAGAAACAGAACTATTAGGGGTATGGCCTAGGGCATTTTAAATTCTATTTTATTTACAAAAAAATGTATGGGCATTTTTTCCCAAAACATTATGTGGCTCAAGGCCTATATCTGTAGAAGACTTCTAGAGATCAGAAAAAGAAAATAGTCTGCTCAAAGGGCCACAAGTCAGTAGCAAAGCCAAAAGTAACATCTGGCTCGCCTGACTCCATTTATGTTGCTGTCTTATTTCTCTAGTCCTTATCCAAGAATGCTGAAGGCATTTTTAAGATTGTAATGAATTTTAGCAAAAGTTTCTTAGTAAATAATGTCAAAACTCCTATTAATGCTTGATGTTAATTTTGTTTTTAAATAAATTATCTTTATAATGAGTTCCAGGACAATTAGATTGTTTTTTCATATGTGGAAAGCAGACTGAGTTCTCTGGATAATCTAAGACAGAATAAATACCTGAAATTTTTACCTGAAACATCCAAACAGCTGAGCCAGAAGTAGGTTGATTCATTTTTGCCTTTCTCTTTACTTCTATAGACACAGGTTATTTTCATATGTGGTCAAGCAAACCACAACACAGCACATTTTAGCTATTTTAATAATTCAGCTATTTTAATAATCCACTGGGCTTTCCACACAATGGATTCAGCTGTAGGGTGTCCAGATAGATCAAGTGGACAATGTATCAGCAAAGCACAGAGACTATTTCTTCTGAGCCTTTTTCTGGTTAGTTTAGTTGTGAATGTAGGTGAAGTTGCAGTCTCATGGATCTTTAACAAAGATTTGGACCATTGCCTTTTACATTTGAAAAATAGTATTTATGTATTTAACAATAAAATAAACATTAGTAATTGGATGACTCATTTATCCCAGAACAGACCAGAAAGGAATAAACATAAATTGTAGCTGCAGAGATATGGAAAACTCTTCAGAATAAAGTGACCATATTTTCAAATTGTCTCTTTGGAATGTAAGAAAGGATACAGCATAGGCAGGACCAGGAAGCCAGTATCGCTGGTGGGAATGGGGGCTCAGCAGTCCCCTTAGCCTCAAATGATTTCAAATGTCATACAGAATATTCTGGAGCTTTCTGAAATCATCTTGGAGTTCATGAAATTGAAAGCACTTTTAGGAAGTGTCTGGGCTCCAGAGGTATACATGGAGGCTTGACAGCGGACCTGCGATAAGGGTAACACAGATGCTGTTGGGTGTCTTGGTCAGAGCTAGCCTAGGAAAAATTATATAGTAGGTCAGATTGGTGCACTTTCCTTCCTCCAACCCTTTGTAGGCCTGCTCTTTTATCAGACTCATCAGCACCTCTCCTATGCCCAGTTTCCATTCTTAGCTCATAAGGTGTTAGTTGATAAGGGCGTAGAGTGAGTTCCTGAGAAGGGATTTCAACTTAACAATTTTTAAATATGAGTGGTTTCTGAAGGTGGCTGAATTTTAGACTGAAAAGAATGAATCTATTCAGATAACATGATAGGCAGTGGGTTGATCTTTTTTGGACAAGGCACCCTGGAAATCCGAAAGTTTTCTAACCCAATTGTACACAAACTACTAAAAATCAGGTATTGTTACCTGTATCAGCAGGTAAGTTCAGATAAAGGCCTTTACAAAGCAGTTTTTCTGTAGCTTGATGTTTACTCCTGTCAGTTGAGTTCAGATTGACCAGAGCTGGGACAGTCCAAGCCAAAAGTGATCATTTTTCCTGTCTACTTTTGAAAGTAAGAGCACAGTGCCCTGGGATGCATTACTAGTAAAGACTGCCCCATATCAGAAGATAGCCTGGGGAGCATAGATATAATCCTGCAAACGTGGATCTGTGTTTGTGTATTGGTCTTATTCTCTCTATTATCAGACCATAAGCTCCTTATTTGGCAGAACCCAGTGTTATAGTTGTGTTTCTTGTAGCAGCTAACACTATACTTGGAAAATAGTAAACACTCAGTAAAATTTGCTTAAATAAGATATTTTATTAATCATTCAAACAGGAGTCATTGGAGAATGAACAAATTATTGAGGCAGAGAGATGGAATCGAAGAGTACTTCGGATGTTAAATAGTTTGCGGGTAAGATGGTAGGGTTTACCAACGCTATTTTTATTTTTAAAAATAAATGAAATGTTGACTTCAATCTTCTAGATAGCAATAAAAATGAAACTGTTTTCATTATGTTTTGTTGAGGCCAAATTCCACTAGAGTGAAATGCTTTTGAGCAGTATACCCAGGGCTAAATATGGGAGTTTGCTTTTGGTGCCTACATGTTCTAATCAACTTCTTACCCACAGTCATGTTGTGTTTAGGAGGCTATCAAATAATTCTCAATATGGAGCTAAGTTTATAACAGTTTAAGAGTGAAACAGATCATTTTAAAATTTAAAATTTTTATCAAAATAATACATGTATATATTTTTGAAAGTTCAATAGTGCTATGCTATAAGGCTGAAAAGGAAACGCAGAAGTCCTTTGTCATACCCCTCCTTATCCCTAAGTCCTGCTCATCAGAGGCAACTACATTAAGCTGTTTCTTTCAGTATCTGTATCTCTATTTCTAATTACATGCTCTTACTGCTCTTTCTTGATACTTCAGCTTTAAATTTTATCGGTTGGCTTCTTTCAACAGACAATGAAAATTTAGCTTAGTTATCTCTCACCTGCCCCGGTCTATTTTTAGACACAGTTTTCAGTGTTTACAATGTTGTAATTGTAATAGTTATGATGCAGGTTTGATTGTGACAGAGAGCCAAAATATCAGTGGCTTAAAAAGATAGAAGTTTATTTCTCTCTCAGGCAGAGTACGATCTGGTATGGCAGCTATGCTCACAAATGGTTCCCTTTATCTCATTTTCCTTATTCTCAGGATCCAAAATGGCTAACTACCCACCATGTCTGCATTCCAGTCAGCAGCAAAGTTTCCTTTAAGGGTACAACCAGAAATTGTGTGGATCACTTTTCACATTTCATTGACCAGCACTTATTACTTTGCCACATCTAGCTGGGAAATGTAGTCCTTATCTGGCAACCTTGGGCTCAGCTAATAATTCAATTACTATAGAAGAAGAGAGGAAAGGATATTAAGGGACAACCAGCAGTCGCTGCCACAGACTATGTAAAAATTAGTTTACATTGAAGCTTCAAAGGGTAAATACATTTCTTGTCAACTTGATGGGGTTTTTTTTTTTTTTGAGTTAATCTTTACCTCATTTTTCCCATTTGCTTTGTGTCTATATACCCATCCTTAATTCTTTTTCTAAACTCTCTGACAGTACAATAACCCCCTTTTAGTATGGTCAAATATATCAATTGATTCATCTGTTCCACTTTTTTTTCTTGAAGATATCCTTCCTGGAGCTCGTCATCCTCTTCTCATCTGGACTAGCTGCTCTCTGGTCTGCTCCAGTTTTTGTCTTGGAAGTTTCCTTTGCCGTTACATGGAAACTCCTTTGTCTCTTTCCTATATTAGTTCCTCTATTTCTTGGTGCTTTGATCTTCTCTTATCTTGAATTTTGGTGATTAACATCCTCTTGTAAATTTCTGAGATAAAGAGTGCCTCAGAGATAGAGACACTGCATACAAGTCTGAAAATTTCTGTATTTTACGTTTAACTTGATTGTTTGTCTCTAAACAGTTTGAAAATACTGTTAGATGTGGAAGGCTTTGTAACATTTCTAGGCTTCTTGTGTTACTATTGAAAAGTCAGATGCTGCTTGATTGGTGATCCTTTGTAGGTGACCTTTATATTCTCTCTGGAAGCTCTTAGATCTTCTCTTTATCCCTAGAGGTCTGAAATTTTATGGTGATGTGCTTTGGTATGGGTCTTTTTTCATTTGTTGTGCTGAGCATGTGGTGAGTTATTCTGAAAGTTCATTTCCTTGAGTTCTAGGAAATTTTTTTTGCATTTCTTGGATTCTCTCCTTGTTATTAATCTGTTCTCTCTTTCTGGACTGCCTTCGTGTCAGATGTTGAATCTCCTGAATTGCGCCTTTAATTTTTAAAAAATCTTTTATCCTCTATATTAATTTCCTTTGTCTTTTTTATTTTTCTACTCTCTAGATGGTTTCTTCAACTTTATCTTCTAGTCTTTATTGAATTTTATTTCTGCTTTCATCTTTTTTGTTTTCCAGGAGTTTTTTCTTAGTTATTAATTATTCTTTTGTTTTATAGCACCCTAATCTTTTTATTTATTTAGTCAGTTTTTTAACCGCTTTATTGAGGTATAATTAACATACAATAAGCCATACCCATTTAAAGTATACAGTTAGATAAGTTTTCACATACAGGTATCCCTTGTATTAGCAGGGGATTTGTTCCAGGATCCCCTGCAGATACCAAAATCATCAGATACTCGAGTCTCTTAGTTCACCCTCTGTATCTGCAAGTTCTGCATCCGTGGATATGGAGGGCTGACTGTATGTGTATACCTGTGAAACCATTACCACAATCAAGATAGTGAATATATCCACAACCCCAAAAAGTTTCCTTGTGCCTCTTGATAATCCTTGTCCCATCTCCGTCCCCCAACCCCAAGCAACCACTGATCTGCTTTCTCTCAGTATCATCCTAATCATTTTTCACAGATGCAGTGTCTTCTCTTAACTTTCAGGGGTTATAGTTTTCTTCTGCTTCCTGCATTGTCTCTGTTTCCTTAGTGGTTCTCTTGAATGCTTTCTTTTTTCTCTTGAATGTTAGAAATTTTACTCAAATGTCCGGCAGATCTTTGGTCATCTGTTTTTATTTAAGAGTGAGACACCAAAAAGCTGATTGGAAGTTATATAAGTATGGTTGGGGCTTGTAGACTTGTGATCTTTATAGTAAGGTAATTGGGTGGTACCCCTCCCCCCACACACACAGATGCTATTATCCATAGGGTTTTTTTCCTCGAAATGGTCAGTTTTCCCAGCTTAGTCTTCAAATATACTGCCTAGGAGATATAAGCATGATGCTCGTGGTTCGGGAACCAAAAAGGGATAAAGGAGAGGCTGGCTGTCTCACTGTTTAGAGTGTAGAATTTCACTTGATCCCCCAGTTTGTGGTATGACACTTCTCCTCCACCATCCACGGTGCCTGATGTCCCAGATCTAGAGCCTCAGTGGTTGGCATCTCCAGAACGGCAACTTCCTGCCTCCTGCTAGCCTATGGGGGTAGTGGTCTCCTGGTTCAGTGAGGTGGTGGAGTGGACCTGAGGGTCTAACTGCTTCCAAGTAGACTTGCAACAAATTCTCATGTTTTCAGCTTCACCCTTCCTCTCCAGCTTATAACAATACTGTTGCCTCCAATTCCTGAGCTTTGCCAACGTTCTGTAGCTCAAATTGGCTTGTTTTTTGCTGGCTTTCCTCCCTGCTGGCACTTAGGTTTCAACTTGCTTTACTCTGCTAAGTCAGTTAATCTTCCACTTTCTTTGTCTTTATCTACTTCCTTTGTCACCTTTACTTTCATTTTAGAGGGGATTCTGGAGGGAACAGAATAAGCACATATGTTCAGTCTTGCATATTTGTCCCCTCAGGGTGTTTTTCAGAAGGATTCTTAAAATTGAAAAGGTTGTCCTGCTTCTCTCCCAGGGGAAAAAGCCACCCAATCCACATCTTGTCTCCTCAAGGGAGGGAATAAATGAAGGCTTGGCACGCCATCTCTGAAAAGTTGCTGATGCTGGGCTACTCCTTTGATTGAGATAAAGTATGATAAAGTATTTAACTTTTTAATTTGTTAAATGTTACGGACTGGTAAAAAAAAAAAAACTTGTATATGGTATTTCTAAAAATGCTCACAGCTAGAGTACGATACTCACAGGGATACTGGCCGGTATTCACCACAGTATTTCTAACTAAAAAACTATATTTCTATTCTAGGAATCTGATTCCAAGTACTAGTCTTCATAAAAGGAGCTATCTTCATCCGTAATTAAATACTTTATTGTACCTCAATTTTTTCTAGTAGTTTCACAGGTGCCCTATGGTGAATCCAACATCTTTTTAATCCATGCAGAGAAAGTGGGAGATGTTTATATAGTCATATTCCCCTGCCACTGAGATGTACAAATATACGTCTACATTTACGACTAGAGTTGTTTGTAGTCACTCCCAACTCCCAGTACGTTTAAGGAAAAGAAGCCTGATAGGCTGATAATTTTCATTGTATTTAAAGCCTCCCAAAATCCTGTGGATTTTTTTTTTTTCCCTACAAGTCTAAACTAATTGCACTTTCCACAGGAGTGGAATCAATTTTTTAAAAGACCTAAAGTTTGTATAGCACGTTGGAAATTTGTATAACGCTTTAGAGTTCTTTTGCATGCATTTTCTCAATGAACCAAGCTTGTGCCCAATGACCTATGTTTTTTTAAGTTTACTAATGAGTCATTTGCATTCCTCCATTTCAGGATTTCGCACTTATCAAAAATATCAATACTTTGTTGTTCATTATGTTTACGCAGCCTGCTCTACTTTTAATGATCTTGTTTCCCTTTCCTTTCCTCTTTTCTAATTATTTTCCCAGGAATCCAACAAGATGGGAATGCAGTACTTTAGTCTGATGAAACTGTGCAGAAATAGTGACCGAAAACAAGCTGCTGCCCAATTTTATAGCTTCCTTGTCCTAAAAAAACAGCGGGCTATTGAGCTGAGCCAGAGTGCTCCCTATGCAGATATTATAGCGACAGTGGGACCAATGTTTCATACAATGTGAAGGAAATCCAGAACATGCAGATTTATGTCATCCTTGGAGTTTCTGTATAGATTGTTCAATTTAATGAAGAAGCCGTCTGGAAGCAGCTGAGGTCTGATCAGTTTCATCGATAGGCCAACCTCCTGTTTCCTCTTTCAGAGGAAAGTTCAGAATAATCACAGCCAGAATTGGAAACCTATATGCTTACAGAAATACTTAATAATACTTAATAATAGCTAAGTAATATTTTTAACTTAGCTGACTTGAATATATAACATTTACCATTTCCCTGACTTCCATGTTGCATTTAAAATATGCTTTTTAAACACTATATGCCTTCAAGAAACATTCAAGGATGTTTTTTAAAAGGCTATTTTACATTAGATTATTTACTTAAATTTTATGGGATTAATTAATAATCAACACTTTCTTATTTCCCCACAGACAATAATTTATTTGATTCTAATGCATACCATCCTTGATTTGACCTAATGTCATGGTTTTTAATCTAATATCTTAATTGAAGAGTTACAAAATTCATCTTTGTTTTAAATTATCTGAGTAGCTTTTAGTCTATTTATAGGTCATTTAACCTTTTTATTTACTATTTAATGATTATTGTAACCACAATTCGTGTGTCAGCAAAACTAAATCTGCTTCTTATGTTAAAAAGAAATTAACAGACACTTATTCAGCATGTTGTCCGCTGCTACAATTCAAGTAAATGTCACTAAAGTGTTCTTTTAACTTGGTGTTTACTGAGCATTTTTTGACATTAAAACTACTGTTTTCTTTTTTCTTAGTTGAAGTTTGAATTAGGAAATTTTCATATAATTCTTTGTGAGCTCCATAGTATACTGTAAAATGAAGCCTATGATACTCTCTGACATACTGTTGTATATGGAATTATGCTATAAAATAAATTCTCAATGGCCTCTTTGAATGTATTAACTATAAGATTTAAATATCAAAATCACCTTTTAAAAAAATTCTTTTATTTTTTAAATTCACATACAGAAAACTTGACTTTTTAATTTTGGTGCACAGTTCTATGAATTTTAACACACATATCGATTTCTGTAACCACCACCACAAACAGGATGCCAGCAATAATATCACCCAAAAACACTCCCTTGTGCTCTCCCTTTGTAGTCACACCCTTCTCCCATTCTAACTTCTGGCGGCCCCTCTCTTCTACTTGACTCTAGTTTTGTCTTTCTAAGAATGTCTTATCAATGGAATCATATAATATGTAACCATTTTTAGACACGCTTCTTTCACTCAGTATAATGTCTTTGAGATTCTTCCAAGCTGTTGCCTGTAACAGTGGTTTGATCCTGTATATTGCTGAGTAGTATTCTGTTGTCTGGATATACCACAGTTTATTTATCCATTTATCCCCAGAAGGATATTTAAGTTGTTTCCAGTTTTGACAATTATAAATAGAGCTGCTGCATACCCTTCTGTACAGTTTTTGTGTGATTAAAAGTTTTTATTTCTTTAGAGTTAATATCTAGGAGTGGGATTGCTGGGTCATATGATAAGTGCATGTTTAACTTTATAAGAGATTACCAAACTGTTTTCCAGAGTGGGTGTACCCACTAGCAATGTATGAGAGTTCCAGTTGAATTTTTGTTTTGTTTTTTGTTTTTTCCCAGTTGACTTTTTGTTTTGAGATAATTGTAGGTTCACATGCAGTTGTAAGAAATAATACAGAGAGATCTTGTACATCCCTTCACCCACGTTCCCCCAGTGGTAACATCTTGTATAATTACAGTACAATCACAGGAAGTGGACATTGATACAATCCACTCACCTTATTTGTATTTCACCAGGTTTACATTCACTCATTTGTGTGTGTGGATTTAGTTCTATGCAGTTTTATTACATATGTAGCTTCATGTGACTACTACCACAGTCAAGACACATAGCAGTTCCATCACAAGTATCACTTGTGCTACTGTTTTGCAGCCACAGCCACCTCCCTCCCTACCCTCCTCCGGAGCCCCTGACAACTACTAAACTGTTCTCCATCTCTATAATTTTGTCATTAATACAATTAACTTTTGTATCCTGTGACCTTGCTAAACTCACAAATTCTAGGAGTTTGTTCTTTGTAGATTCCTTGAGATTTTCTACACAGACAATCATGTTGTCTGCAAATAGGGACAGTTTCATTTCTTTGCAATCTGTTCCCAGCACAAGGAGGAAGGCATTCACTCTTTCACTGTTAGGTATGATGTTAGCTAGAGCTGGTTTTGTATATGAGCGTGTATGTGTGTATGTGCATGTGTAGGTAATTTTTATCGGGTTGAGAATATTCCTTTGTAGTCCTAGGTTGCTGCGAGGTTTTTTTTTTTTTTTATCATGAATGGATGCTGAATTTTGTTAAATGCTTTTTATGCATTGATTGATTGGATCATTAGATTTTTCTTTAGACTGTTAATATGGTGGATTACACCAACTGATTTTTGAATTTTTAACCAGCTTTGCATTTCCAGGATAAACTCTACTTGGTCATGATGTATTATTCCTTTTATGTATTGCTGGATTCAATTTGCTAATATACTTTAACAGCTTTATTGAGATATAACACACATACCATAAAATTTACCCCTTTTAAAGTGTTCGATTCATGATTTTTAGTATATTCACAGTGTTATGTAACCATCACCATTATCTAATTTTAGAACATTCTCATCACCCAAAAAGAAACCCCATACTCATTAGCAGTCACTCCCCATTCCCTCCCTCCCCACAACTCTTGGCAACCACTAATCCACTTTCTGTCTCTCATACAATATATGGCCTTTTGTGTCTGGCTTTTTTCACTTAGCATAATGTTTTCAAGGTTTATCCATGTTGTAGAATGTATCTGTACTTCATTCCTTTTAATGGCCAAATTAATATTCCATTATGTGAATATATATTTTGTTTATCCATTCATTGGTTGGTAAACATGTAGGTTTTTCCACTTTTTGACTATTATGAATAATGCTGCTGTCAACGTAGGTGTATACGTTTTTATGTATACATGTTTTCATCTTTCTTGGATATGTGCCTAGGCGTGGAATTGCTGGGTCGTATGATAACTCTATGTTTAACTTTTTGAGGAACTGTGAAGCTGTTTTCCAAAGTAGCTGTACTATTTACATTTCCACCAGCAATGTGAGAGAGTTCCACTGTCTCTACATCCTTGCCAACACTCATTCTCCCTTTTTTTATTATAGCTATCCTAGTGAGTGTGAAGTGATTTTGATTTACGTTTCCCTAATAACTAATGATGTTGAGCATCTTTTCATGTGGATTTGCTAATATTTTGTTTAGGACTTTTGCATCTGTGTTCATGAGGAATATTGCTCTGTATTTGTCTTTTCTTCTTTTTCTGCCTTTGGTATCAGGGTAATACAGGCCTCATAAAATAACTTGGAAAGTATTTCCCCCTATTTTATTTTTCTGGAAAAGACTGTGTAAATTGTGTTATTTCTTCTTTAAATGTTTGGTAGAATTCACCCATGAAACCCTCTGGATCTGGAGATTCACGGAAGGTTTTAAACTATGAATTCAATTTTTAAAATAGCTGTAGGGCTATTCAGTTATCTATTTAAATTTGGGTGAGTTTTGGTAGTTTGTGGTTTTCGAGGAATTGTTCCATTTCATCTAAATTGGTGATTATGTGTGTAGAGTTGTTTGGAGAATTCTCTTATTATCCTTTTAATGTCTGCAGGGTCCATAGTAATAACCCCTTTCATTCCAGATACTGTTAATTTGTGTCTTCTCTTTTTTTTCTTTTCAGTTGTACTAGAGGCTTATTAATTTTATTGGTCTTTTCGAAGAACCCACTTTTGGTTTCATTGATTTTCTCCTTTGTTTTTCTTTTTTTTGATTTCATTGATTTCTGCTCTGATATTTATTACTTCCTTCCTTCAGCTTGCTTTGAGTTTATTTTGCTCTTATTTTTCTAGTTTTATTAAGGTGGAAGCTTAATTGATTTGAGACCTTCCTTCTTTTCTAATATAAATGCTCAGTGGTATATATTTCCCTCCAAGCACTGCTTTAGCTGCATTGCACAAATTTTGATATTTGTATTTTCACTTTTGTTCAGTTCAAAATATTTTCTAGTTTCCCTTGAGACTTTCTCTTTGACCTGTGGATTATTTAGAAGTATGTTGTTAATTTCCAAGGGAGATTTTCCTGTTATCTTTCTGTAATTCATTTCTAGTCTAATTCACTGTGGTCAGAGAACATACCTGAAATGATTTTGATTCTTTTAAATTTTTTAAGATTTGTTTTATAACCTAGTGTAGGGTCTGTCTTGGTGGGTGTTCCAGGGCACTTGAGTCATTATGCAGCTGTTAGGTGGAGTGTTCTATAAACGTCAGTTGGAACTAGTTGGTTGATAGTGTTCAGTTCTTCTGTATCCTTGCTTATTTTCTGTCTGCTAGTTCTATTGATTACCAAGAAGGGAGTGTTCATGTCTGCAGCTATAATTGTGAATCTGTCTGTTTCTCCTTTCAGTTCTGACAGTTTTTGCTTCATGTATTTTGAAGGTCTTTTATTAGATGCATACATTTACCATTATTATGTCTTCCTGGTGAAGTGACCCTTTTATTATTGTATAATGATTCTCTTTATCCCTGGTAATTTTCTTTGCTCTGAAGTCTACTTTTTCTCATATTAAGCCATTCCAGATTTCCTTTGATTAGTATTTACATGGTATATCTTTTTCCATCTTTTACTTTTAGCCTACCCATATCATTATATTTATTTATTTTATTTATTTATTTTTTTTCCCCAAAGCCCCAGTAGATAGTTGCATGTCATAGTTGCACATGCTTCTAGTTGCTGTATGTGGGATGCGGCCTCAGCATGGCAGGACAAGCGGTGTGTCGGTGCGCGCCGGGGATCTGAACCTGGGCTGCCAGTAGCGGAGTGTGAGCGATTAACCGCTAAGCCACAGGGCCGGCCCCCATATCATTATATTTAAAGTGAGTTTCTTGTAGATAGCATCTAATTCATTTTTTAATTCATTCTGATAATCTGTTTTAATTGATGTATTTAAACCAATTACACTTAATGTAAATATTGATATATTTGGATTTAGATCTACCATTTTATTATTTGTTTGTTGTTTGTTTCCTCTATTTTTCATTCCTGTTTCCCCCCTTCTTGCCTTCTTTTGGAATATTTGAATATTTTTTTAGAATTCCATTTTAATTTATCTGTTGTGTTTTTTTTTACTATATCTTTTGTTATAGATATTTTATAACAAATATTATTTGTTTTAAAATTTATTTTATAGATATCCCTAAGGATACAAAACACTCTTTACGCTTCACTTAGAATCAATATTTTACCACTTCAAGTGGATGTAGAAACCTTGCACCATATAAGTTTCTTTACACTCCCTCCTTTATATTGTAATTGTAATTGTCTTATGCATTACATCTACATACATTGAAACCCCATCAGACAATGTGACAATTTTTGCTTTCAACTGTCAAACATATTTTGAAGAATTTAAGAGGAGAAGAATAGTCTATTAAATTACCTGGATATTTACCATTTTTATTGTCCTTCTTTCCTTCCTGATGTTCTGAGTTTCCTTCTAATATAATTTCCCTTCTGTCTGAAGAATTTTCTTTAGCAATTCTTTCAGAGCAGGTCTGCTGGCAATTATCTTAGTTTTCCTTTATCTGAGAAAGTCTTAATATCACCTTCATTCCTGAAGGATATTTTTACTGGGTACAGAATCCTGGTTGGCTGCTCTTTTCA